GCCCCCACGTTCAAATGGACCGATATGCTTTATAAAAAGAACGGGGGATGACCGCCACTGTAGCTCAGCGCTAGAGCATCGGACACGTTATTGGAAGGTTGCAGGTTCGAATACTACCAGTGGCAAGTGATATTTTTATCCACTTTTATTTCTTCACATGTATGCTACAATTACTTCTATTAACAAACATCACCTATACTTTATCTGGCATCATTCTCTGTGAGTTTTAAATATATATTTTCTTTTCTAAGAGATAAGAACGTGCCTTTAAGTTTACTTTCCTCGGAAGTTGTAAAGGTATTCGTCTACTGAGAACTGGTAGTAACCACGGAACCTAACGATGAGGCTGAAGGCACTAGAAAAAATAAGGATCGAATGAAGCACGTTTTGCAAGCATCCTCATCATATATGATAGTTAAGCCCTTCCACTGCTGAGGTATGTATGTATGTATGTATGTATGTATGTATGTATGTATGTATGTATGTATGTATGTATGTATGTATGTATGTATGTATGTATGTATGTATGTATGTATGTATGTATGTATGTATGTATGTATGTATGTATGTATGTATGTATGTATGTATGTATGTATGTATGTATGTATGTATGTATGTATGTATGTATGTATGTAAAGTTGTAAGCAGCTGCACGAAATGGCCATTTACGCCGTTGTCCTGAGCGTAATCAATGGGAACTCCGTATCCGCTCACTCTGTTTCCAGAAGGAGTGCAATTTTCAAGACTGACATCTCTCAGACGACTTGCCCTTATCTTTGATAAAACATGCAGAAAACAATTTCGTTTCTATAACTTGTCAGCCGACGATGTTGCGGTCGTCATGGAAGCGTCACCATCGAAGGTATGCGAGATTCGTTTTGCACCGTCAGCCCTCCGCGACATCCACGTTCTTGAATGCTTGGTAAACTGCAGTTCAACGGACCTTCTCTGAAATCGCAGCGCCGCCCCTTCCCCTGGTGGGTCGGCGCTAGAACATTAGGGGAAAGTGGAGCGCTGACTGGAGGAGCAGACGACGCTTTCCCGCTTTCGCGTGCTTTGATCGCGGGCCACGAGTGGTTTTGGTTGGTTTAAAATGCTGCTTTTTGTAAAGAAAGGGCTACGTCAGACTGCTCTGATGTTCATGCTCCCAAATAGACTGCGTTCTTCGCCCCAAATACACATAATCGTCACTAAACATGTAGAAGAAGAAAGAAAGCGGTGGACACACTAGGCCGGTTTTTAGATGTTAGAATATGCGAAAGTCTCTGGACGAATTCATTAAGGTGAGAGCCTTAAATACATCATTAAAAACTCACAGGGTCTCCTAGCCATCCACCAAAGACGATTCAATGGCAACGGCTACCTTCATTTTTTTCTCTGTCCACGTTCTGATCTTATACTCCACCAGTCCACGAGGCAGACGTAGCCAGACATTATTTCGGGGGAATGGGGGCACTTCTATGATTTCAGTAGGGGCACCCCCTTAAAGTGGTTATTTTTCCCTTTCTATGCCATGACGAGAAAAATATCGGGGGTAGGGGGGGGGGGGGGCTGCCACGCCATGCTACGCCTCTGCCACGAGTGTCAGCAGGGTGTTGTGAGTGCAAACCAGTCTTGCATCACAGCTGGTGGAGGGGGAGAGCCTTGGTGTAGCTTGGGTGTGGTCAAGCACTGGTGTGGCTTAAGGGGGGCAAGTGCTCTTTTGCAACCCCCTGCTAACGCCTATGCCGGCCATTCACACCACACTTAGCAAGCTTTCTGCACCTATGGAGGTTTGCACTGCTTTCAAAATCGGAGGTGGTGCAAAACTGATTTCGCATTGCCTCCATGATCAGACCACCTTTGACCAAGCTCGGATGTCCGGCGATAACATGATCACGTAAAGAGACGTGAAGTTTAAAAGACGTCACATTTTTTTGCTATGTATGATCTGTCATATATGTTTATTTATTTATACGTTTATTTCATAAGCAATACTGATCATGAGGAGTGAGAGAAAAGCTGCTTTTATGCAGCATGACAAAGCTCTCACCCCGTGTATCTTGGGCTTCGGTTAGCATTTGGCCATAGACTCTACTATACATCTATGAAATATATGCAATTCATTAAAATAACGTGTTTACACACTATTATCATCAAGAAAAGTAGTACAAAAAGAAAAAAATACAGTGAATAAAGAGTACGTGATGCTGCATACATCCTTATACAGTAGCAAATTGTGAAAAATTTCAGTTTATATTAGAATAAAAAAATGAACAGTCAGAAAAAGTAGAATACAGCATATAATTATTGTTATATGTAATATTGATTGAGCTGGTCGAGTGGGCAGTACTCTATATGTATGTTCCGTGCATAAAAATATTTAGCATGCTAGGAGGAAGGAAGGAAGCAACAAAAGGGAGAAGGCAGGGAGGTTAACCAAGCATTCTAGGAATGAGACAACACAGCCTATGAGCTGGTTGAGTGGGAAGTACTCAATATGTATGTTCCGTGCATAAAAATATTTAGCATTCTAAGAATGAGACAACACAGCGTATCTTCACCATAGTTAGTTCTGCTGAGAGGTGCACCCCAATATTCAAGATGCCTAGTGGTATAGCTACGCGCGTTTACTTTTAATTTAGCCAGGGTGCGTATACTATGTGTGTAGTTCTTAATTTTATTCCGCGGTGCCAAACTTAGTTTAATGTTATAGAGGTTGTAGGTGTTGTCGTCAACACGTGATGATTTTTTGGTTCACTCGACGCCACCGACGCGGGACGCAAATGACAAAGTTTCACGTTTGATGAGACATCTGGGCTTTTCGCCTTAAAATAGAAATTTACCGTAGCTGGCTTTGGCCCCCCATGGCGGCGTCGTCAACAAGTGTGATGCAAAAATTATCGCGTGATGGTGTCACCATAGGACGTCATCGTGACATCACAGATCACTGGAATGTGTAAGGTCATCATGAGAGTCTCATGATCACGTCATCACACGACGACGTCACTTTGCACTGCCTCTGTGATCGCCCCACTAATTACGGAACCCGAGCAAAACCAGCTGAGGTGCTGAAAGTTCGGAATGCGTCCGCTCATATAGCCCGTGCAAAACCACATTATATGCAGAAAATTTTCCAATGGAAGTGAAAAAAAAACCAATAAATTGACTGAAGAAAAGAAAGACGGCTTTCGCCTTTAAGTCGCCTTGGGAAAATGCATAAGAATGCCTGCAAATTTTTATTGCTTTCTGGCGTTTCTTTTTGCACTTTTACGGCATTTTTTTTTAGTTGTTGTTGTTGTTGTTTTTGTATCCCCGTGTCAGGGCAAAGAGAATAGTTGTAGTTTCATTGCTTATTATACAAAAGTGACACTCGCCGTCAGTTTTTCACATTGCCAGCTGATGTAAGCGTTGCAGCGGCCTTACATACCTTTCCCACTTTGATTGAAGCTTTCGCCAAGACTTTTAAATTCAAATCACCATTAACAACCTTGCACAGCGTTACTTATGAACGTTTTCTGGCTTAAGAACAGTAACCAGGTACAGAGTGCCAATTAGCACCTTAGGAATGTTTATGCTTCGGAATTATCTCTGCTTAATACGTCTGTGACGAGTTTTACATGTTTTTTCTATGACCCTTTTGACAAAGATCACAGGAATGGTCGTATATTCTGGGCAGCTTGGAGAGGCATCTATACAAACGACAAATTACTTAATTACCATAATCGTAAACTGTATTAGAAGAAGGGATCATGAGAGCTCAAAGAGTAAAACAGAATATTGTGATAAATATGCACACGAATGCTCATTTTGTGATGTTTCTTCCATTGTTAACAAGTCACGACCTTTTGCGCATTCAGGTCTGAAATTCTTGAGTAAATTTCCAACTCACAGTCGTGAAAACAGGAACTAGAGAAAGCATGTTTTGTGCTGTGTAAACACAAACACTGCATGCAAAGTGAAATGTGCACATTATTCTCGCTTGATGTAGTGCAACACAGCGTCGAAATTATGCAATCTTCGCACCCGACAGCACTAACTTGATGTCCGTTCTACGGATATGCTGGTAGCTGAATTTTACTGCTCTGAACGTCCCAAGTGTATCGTTTCTCGCGCGCAGCATTTGAAACAGGCAATTAGCATTCAAATTTACGCAGCATAGTGGGGCTCGAATAAGGGGGGTATTTGACAATAACTATCATGCGCGAAGTGCCACGGTCTTGCACTGCGTATTGTGCGGAAGCATATCCCGAGTGATAGCGCCCAACATGAAGTTATAATATAGAAGTGGCATGGTCAAACGAGGAAAGCTTCCGCTACGTGGAAATACGACCAATAAAGCATAGGGGACAAGCCAAGTAATGTTTCCGATTCCAAGTCATTAGAATATATGCCACCAGCACAAATGTCTATCGGTGTTCGTTTTTTCCCAGTGCCATCGAAAATGGGAATACACTACCCACACATATTGTTGAGTGCACGTAAGCAGAGGCTTTTGAACATTTGGTTAACTGTTTCGTAAAAATCATTGGATGGTGTGTTGAAGTTTTGCTTTGTTTTTGTCATGCTGATGTTGATTATTTTCTATTTGACATTTGACATTATTTGAGTGTTTTATATCCGAATTATTACATGTATGTACCCCTTTCCTGGGTTAACACTATGCTCAAATCAATAAAGTATTTATTTAAATGGACCTTTTTGCTACGTGAGCATTTCAACGAATCATCATTAAGTGAAGAGTGCTTAGTGTTGGCTGGCTCTATCTTGATCTGGGTGTCCATCCGTTGTGAGTACATATTGAAACAGGGTTACTACGCGCAATATTTCCGCAATGATGCGTTCGTATACGCCCGAGCGTAGTCAACGCTTCCGCAAGCAGACAACACTACGCCAGCGGTCCGGCTTCCCATAATGCTTTGCGGCCGCCGTAGGTGGCGCGCGCCAATTTATAGAAAGGTCCATCGTATGAAAGGATGCAGCAATTTGAAGCACCGATTTGCTTGCCCACCTCCATGCAGAATCTACCCATTGAACTGTCGGCTCTGACGGTACCACCCAAGATCCAAGTGCCGCCATCCAGTGAACTGAAGGTGAGTTCACGTGTCATGTTACATATAGCACAAAGTAAGAGACGTACGTATGTGCTGACGCCGCTCATAAAAGCACGTGTACTTTTTGACTGGTGTGAGGTACAGATATCATGCAGGGAGTGCCCGAATGTTGTCGCCGAATAATTTGAACACGCATTTTATTATTTATGTATTTATTTTTACATACTGCCAGTCCGAATGGGGACTATTGCAGAAGGGTAAACAAAATACACAATACACATACAACTATATACAGAATAGATACACTCGCAAGTACATGCGAAAAAGCGACACTAACAGATATTGTATGATGATACATGAAGAGTTTCCCAACCTAAGTCTGGCAGATATGCACGAAAATATTATACTACGTAATCCGCTCATAACTCTGACAAATTCAAAAAGTAACCAAAAGCTGTACAAGCGAGAAAAGAAACATAAAAAAACATCATTTCAGCTATGAGTGTCGCGAATGGGGTTTTTAAGTAAAGTAAAGAACTATTCAAATCTTTACTATTAGTCAGACAAGCGGGCAATCTATTTCATTCTGTAATTGACTGTGGGAAGAAGGAATACTGGAAGCAGTTGGTGCTAGAACGATATTCTTGTAATGTTAGTGGATGTTTATGGCGTGACTGTCTGGTTTGTGGAGTAGATATCAATCTCGAGCTGTCGATGTTTAGCTGCCTATGAATAAGTTGGAAGAGCATTTTTAGGCGTGCGAGTTTAGCGCAATTTCGTAATGTTAGTAGCCTGGCTCTTGTGATCAGTTCAGAGGGTGAGACGAACAAACTGTATTTATTATAGGCAAATCTAACTGCTTTTTTTTGTACCCCTTCTAGCTTGTTATTTAGGTTTTTTCTCGGTGGGAACCAGACTAAGTTGATGTATTCTAATATTGGCCGAATTAAGGTTTTATAGGCTAAGAGTTTTGTTTATGCAAAACTGTTTGTTTATGTGGTAGTTCAGTAACGTATAATGTATTAAAATAATATTTCAATTCGAAGGTGTAATGTGACACATCTCACAATGAACTAATCGCAGCACGAAATGCACTGTTTCTTACTTCTTTTACGGTGTAAATAAATAAATATATATATATATATATATATATATATATATATATATATATATATATATATATATATATATATATATATATATATATATATATATATCGAACCTACGAATCGAACCTACGACTTTCGAATAACGCGTTCGATGCTCTAACCACTGAGCTACCACAGCGGCCTTCCCTCCATCCACTTTTTCGGGTTTCTATGTGAATTTAGAAGTAGGATTGACTGTCAGCGCCATCTATAAGCTAAACGACGAGTGTGAACACACTCTTATGCGCATGTTTGGCGTCACGTAGCACGTGAACTTATTATGAGCGGGCAGCTGATTAATTGTCCCTCTTATACAACCTAAACACACCAAGTCTGCCAGTACGAGACCCTCGTTCAATGAAATAAGGGAAAGAAGTGTATACCTAAGGGCTCGGTTTCCCGTATTTTGACCCAATAATAATGAGATCTAACAGACAGTAATTCCAAGGAATGTAGAGGGGAAGTTATTAGAACGTATGGAATGTAAATAAGAAAGAAAAGTGGGTGAAGAAACAACCAGCCGTGAGCAGCAATCGAACCTACGACCATCAAATAACACGTTTGATGCTTTAACCACTGAGCTACCACAGCGGCCTTCCCTCCAGGAAGGTCGTATATATATATATATATATATATATATATATATATATATATATATATATATATATATATATATATATATATATATATATATATATATATATATATATATATATATATATATAAGATTCTTTGAACGTCATTCACGCTGGACCCGACGTATTGTAGGCAAGAAAGAGACGACGACACTTTCGTGGAAGCGTCTTTACTAAACGTTTTCAGCTGGTGGACCAGCCTTCGTCAGAGTAATGTGACAACAGTTCATACATGGCTTTAAAAGCTCCTTTCAATAACAGATCAGCGCCATCTGCTCGGGTTAGCATTACAATGCGCATCATAAAATGTCAAGTGCTTCAGAAAAAAAGAAAAAAAAATACAAATATATATATATATATATACATAAATATATATATATATATATATATATATATATATATATATATATATATATATATATATATATATATATATATATATATATATATATATATATATATATATATATATATAGCCGCCAAGACTTTTACCTTTCCTGGCGTTCTCGATAATGCTGTTGATACCAAAATCAGTATGGCGTAACATGACTGTATGAAAAGTGTAATTGACTAGTCATAACATAAAAATCATGACATGTATGTCATGCACGTCATGACTTGCATTTTATGGTTTTCCTGCTTCTGCGGTAGTTTTGTTCACATGACATTTTGGAAAACTGGCATGGTATGACATGCCTGCATAAAAACATAAGTGACAGACTATAACGTGAAAATTATGACATGAATGTCTTAATTTTCAAGTTATGACTAGCCATGAATACACGCCACGCTCATGATGAGCTCGTGTGGTTTGGTTAACTTCACGTATGCCAAATTTGGTATTACGGGCCGTGAATGGATGACGAAGCTACATGACTGGTACAGAACAGAACAGAAGGTTTTATTGTGCTAAATGAAGAAGAATACATGTGCATGATATACAGGAAGAGGTCCCATAGTCAGAGACTGCAAGGGGACCTCTTGTACAATGTAGAATTGAGAATGATTGTGATGTACATAGCAGGGAGACAGAGCTACAGTAAAATGCAATTGAAACAAATAAAGTAAGAATATACCCTTGTAATCTCACAGAAACAATTTAAAAGTAAGAATAACGTGCTAACTTCAATGACAAATGATTACAGAACACAACTCACAATGAACAGGAATCAATTAAGAAACAGCAAAACAGGCTAGTTAGTTGACATGATATGATTTTTTAACTTCGATTTAATTTCCTTCAGGGAACGGCATACTTTAATGTCGGAAGGCAAACTATTCCAAAAAGAAATTCCGGAAAAATGAATGGTTTGTTCGCCATAATTGGTGCGAACTTTTGGCAGTAGAAAGTTATTGTTAAGGGCAAACCTTGTGACATTGTTATTTGAGAGAATGGTAGTGAAATGTGGAAGTTGGTTATTTATAGTTCTATACATGTAAATACCAAGGTTATATTTAACTAGCTCAGATACAGTTAATATATTGTTTTCGTGAAGTAGTGACTTAGCGTTAGAGAGATATGGGCTTGATGTGAGAATTCTTATCGCTTGGTTTTGAATTGTCTGAACTGAAGTAAGATGAGTGGTGTATGTGTTGCCCCATGAAGTAATACAGTAAGAAATGCGCGAATGAACAAAAGAAAAATACAGTGACATAAGTATTGATGGATTGAAATAAAGACGAGATTTAATCAGTAGTCGAATGCCATACGTCATTTTTTTCCTAATATATGCAACATGTCGGTGATATTTCAAGTTACTGTCGAGTTCAACGCCTAGGAATCTACAGCAGTCGCTCACAGGGATGTCATTGCGCGCAATTATAACAGGAGGGATAGAAGGCAAGGGTTTTTGTGGTGAAGAGAAGACAACAAATTTTGTCTTAGACGTGTTAATTTCTAACATGTTATTACTGCACCACCGAACGAGCTGTGCCAGATCAAAGTTTAGTTTTCCAGTTAAGGATGTAATACTGCTATCGGAGTTAAAAATTGTGGTGTCGTCGGCGTATAATATACAACTGGATGAAGAAAGGCATTTCGGCAAATCGTTAATATAAAGTAAAAACAAAAGGGGCCCCAGAATGGACCCCTGGGGTACACCAATATTAGTTAATTTGGTTGAAGAATATGCATTAGAAATTACCACCTTCTGTGTCCTGTTGCAGAGATAACTACGCAATAATAGTAATGTTGGGCCAGTTATACCAAATGCTTCAAGTTTATTGAAAAGAATGTGATGATTGATTGAATCAAAAGCTTTAGTTAGGTCGATGAAAACACCGCCCGCATAGTAACCGTTGTCAATAGCCTTTTTTAATTGGTCAGTAAGTGAGATTAGCGCAAGGTCACTGGAGTAGCCAGAACGAAAGCCAAATTGACAAGGCGATAGTATATTAAATTTGTTTAGGCAATTTGTGAGACGTGTACAGATCAGTTTTTCAATTACTTTGCTCAAAAAGGGTAAGATGCAAACATGATGATCATGAGATGCGTGTCATGTAAGAGCATGACTACATGACTGGCTCATGATGCGCTCGCGGCCGTTTCGCTCGCTTCACAATAAATCACATTCGGTGTTGCGGGACGTGAATGGATGATGAAGGTATGTGACTGGTGCAAACATAATAATCATGAGAGGCGTGTCATGCAACAACATGAATACATGCCACACTTATGATGGGCTCGCGGCTGTTTTGCTAGCTTCACATATACCAGGTTTGGTATTACGGAACGTGAATTGATGACGAAGGTATGTGACTGGTGCAAACATGATAATCATGAGATGTGTGTCATGTAACATGACTACATGCTACGCTCTGATGCCCTTGCGGCCGTTTTGCTAGCTCCACATATACAAATTTGGTACCACATGACGCAAATAGACAACAAATATAAATGACACATCCCAGCATGCTAATAGTGATATGCGAGTCATGTAAAACATGACTACAGCTACGCTCAGAGCGCTCACGGCCGTTTTGCTTGCTCAACATATACGACATTTGGTATTACGTGACGGCAATAGATGACGAAGGTAAAGACAAGCCCAAACAAGATAATCATGACATAGAAGTCATGTACGGCGTAATTTACCTCTGCCTCGTAACGTTGTGCTGATTTTAGAGTGACATATCAACTTTCCTCAGTCGTGCTTCTCATTTCATTGATTCCCACTGTACGTGAGATCTGCTATTTTTTATATTTTTTGCACTCTTGGTGACCCCAGAACAGTGATTCTTGCGGCATTAGGGTACA